AACATGTGGTGCCTATAGGATGGCTGTAGGTGGGCTGGGGTAGGTTGTAGAAGTGGGCTGTAGGGTGGTTGGTTAGGGGCGGTAGCGGCATCGTTCACTAGCCACCCTACTTTCTATTTTTTTCCCATTTTCGCTTTTTTTTAATTAATATTTTTTAAAATATTATTATTATTATTATTATTATTGTTATTATTATTATTATTAATTATAAAAGACTCAGACAAAATCCGATGTCTACACATCTAAAAAAATCGAACATGGTTAGCACCTTAAAATTTTATGTTTGGTCAAATCTTCCATTTCATTTTTTATTTATTATTAAAATATTAAAAAGATTTTTATATTAATAATTTACTATTTTAAAATATATTTTAAATTAAATTAACAATATTGTTTAACGAGAACAAAATAAGCAATTAACCTTAATAAAAACTTTTAAATATTTTGTTCAAGACTTGATTGAGTTGAAACTAGCAAATGGTCCGACACATAGACGAGTCTAATAACAAGCTATTATAGAAACATTTACATTATTTTATATAGCCAACGTTCAATTTATGGTGACAAATTATAAAGATGATTAATATTATGAATGATCTTTAAATTACAAAAAAAATTTAATATGCTACTTGAATTTGGAACATTTCTAATATAGCACCTAAAATATAATAAATTTAAAAATAATAACATCCTAATCGTGTTATTTGCAAGGAGTAATTGTGGAGCTGCAAAAATAATTGGCTTTCTTAATTCTCTAAAAATATATTATTTGAAAAAAAAAAAAAGGTGTCCATGAACTAAGAGGAGCCGACCGTGGTTGACATATAGAAATCTTAGGTTTGGTGGGCTCTGCATTTCATTTTTATTTATAATTAAAATATTAAAAATATATTTATACTAATCTTTTAATGTTTTTAAATATATTCTAATATAAAATTAAAAAGTAAATTATTTTATAATATAATAACACAATCAATCTGAACTAGACTTAAAAGACTTTGACAAGTCAAGGTCCTTGCGTAGACTCTGTTTGGTTTCCCTTCCTTTTTACCAAAAAGGAGTGTTAGTGTCTTTCGTTGTCTTCTCTCATCGAAGGTAAATTTCGCGAATTGAAACTTGAATAAACTAATTTATTACTAGGATCACACTAAGATCACACTTTCTTGAAAGTGGCCGACATACTTATAGAAAAATTTTGCAATGAGATAAAGTAAGTGCCTTTGCGTGTAAAACGAAGCACAAGACTTTTTATTTTCCACAAATTAAAACGTTATTCACGTTAAAGTAAAACTAATAGTGAAGATATGACTATAAATAATGTGAAGTGTCAAGCAAGTTGGAGTTAATTTCTCAGTATGGGGGCTGGCCAACAACCAATGTTGCAATTGCTTTTAAGAGACCAATATTTACTTTTTGTACTTAGTTTTTTCTATTTCCATTTTCCTTTTTTTTCACTTTTTAGGACTTTTTTTTTTTGTATAAAAGCCAAAAGTGCAATTGGATATTAAAGTAAGTATTTTTTGAAAACTAAAAATTAAAAAATATATATATTTTTTAGGTATTATTATTTATCATATTATTCAATTTAAAATTATTTTTTATAATATATTTTTTAAAAAAATCCCATGCAAAGCGAGGGCTTTATTCTAGTGATATATGAAAGAATTTTTTTATCCTTTATTAATAGCTTATGTAAATTTTACAATCACAGTTATGGCTTCTGGTATTATGTTATTAATCGTTTGTTACTATCTTATTCATCATTTACAAAGAAATAAAGAAGAAAATGAAAAACTCATAGGCAAATCACAATATTTTTTATTCATAAATACTTTAAGAATCCAAGAATATATTCCAATTAAATAACGTGGATATCACGGCAATGCGAATTTCAATGTTGACACCAATGTCAAGATCCTCTCAAACAATACAATATTTGATGTTATAGTCTCATAGACTTAAAAATAGATATGAAATGCTTTTCAAAAAAAAAAAAAAAAAGAAAATGGAACTTGCAATAAAAATTCTTCTTTCCACGAAGAAATAGAATGTAAGAAGAAATCACAAGGAAAGGGTGGAAAGAATTTTTTAACCCAAACTCCACGATTTCATGTAAAAGTCACACTACGAGCTAAAGTATTAATTACAAAATAAAAAAAAAGTATATCATTTACAATTGTTATAGTAACTAATTATAATTAAAATTTATATGAAATTTATAAAAATTTTATATGAAATTCACATTTATAAGTGATAGATCCATACATAATTCTTTAAGTAATTGAATAATTATAGAATTATAATAAAAAGAATTGTAGGTGAAAAACTCCAAAGTTGATTTACCTGTTATTAAATTTGTTATTAAAATGTTAAAAATATTTTTATATTAATATTTTAAAATTAAAATTTAATTAAAATTTATTATTTATTAAATAAAATTCTCAACGTTGAACTCAAGCATAGAAGTGTTTATAGGCTGATCTAGGTTGAGTCAATTTTTTATATTAATAGTTTATATGCTTGCTTAGGTTTGGTTTGGTCTGATATTTTGAGCCTCAAAAATTTTTTTAAGGTCAACCAAAATTGAAAAAGTAAATACCAAGCCCCTCTATTAAACCTAATTTATATAACAAAAATTAGAAAATTCTTTTTTTAAATATATAAAAAATTTTCATATATTTATAAATATTTATATAATTATAATATTTCAATTATATATTTTTTATTTGAGTCGGATCGGATTCGGATTTTAATTTTTCAATACCCAACCCGAAATTTAAACAAGCTTATAAAAATGTGCCCATGCCCATTTAATAAACTTTTATTTTTTGTCTAAACTTTTTCAAAATTTGACGAGCTTTTAGGCTTAGGAGGATAGCTTGACTTTAGAACATATCTACTTAGGTAGAAAAAACATATTTAGGATTGGATCAATGTCTTTGACCAATAGCCTAGATAGTAATTGGGTCTATAAACACCTAATAATTAACAACTACTTCAATTATAACAACTAAGAGAATGATAGTGAAATGAATTATTTTTAATCAAGATTGATCATTGGTAAAAAAATAGTATATTTAAAGAAAAATCAATAAACAAATCAATATAAACCAACATAGAATTAAATTAAATCCAACATACATGAGATTCGATTATAAAATCTATTGCTTCCAATCCCTTTTTCTTATTATTGAGACAAAACTTTATTGATAGTATGAACAAAGTTTTAATTTGTGGAAAATAAAACTCTATTGCTTGGTTTACATGCAGAGACACTTATTTGTTTTATTGTAAAATTTTAGTAATAATTATACATGAGTTTAATAAAAACAAAAATATATATTTTATATTTTTATGTTGATATAAATTATGATATATAATTTTTATATAAAATACAATACAAATACATAAATTTTGGTATTTAAATGATACGAATACACAAATGATTAAGTATAGTCTAATAACAAGATATCACGGAAGCATTTACAATGTTTTATATAGACAACATCTAATTTATGGCTGCAAATTATAAAAATGATTAATATTATGAATGATTTTTAAATTATAATAAAGTATTTAATATGATATTTAAATTTTAAACATACCTAAAACAATATAATATCTAAAAATTTTAAAAATAAAGTAACATCCTAATCATGGTATTTGCAAGGGATGATTAACCGTGGAGCTACAAAAATTATTGGCTTTCTTAATTCTCTAAAAACATATTATTTGAAAAAAAAAAAAAAAAGGTGTCTATGGACTAAAAGGAGCCGAGTTTGGTTGAAACCTAAAATTCTTAGGTTTGGTGGGCTTTGCAATTCATTTTTATTTATCATTAACAAGATTTTTATATTAACAATTTACTTTTTTTAAATATATTTTAAATTAAATTAACAAATATTGTTTAATGAGAACAAAATAAGCAATAAACCTTGTTAAAAGCTTTAAAAATTTTGCTTAAGACTTGATTGAATTGAGACTAGCATATGGTCTGACACATAGACAAGTCTAATATCAAGCTATTGTAAAAATATTTACATTATTTTATATAGCCGGCATTCTGTTTATGATGGTACATTATAAAAATAATTAATATTATGAATGATTTATAAATTATAATAAAATATTTAATATGATGCTTAAATTTTAAACATTTCTAATATAACACCTAAAGTATAATAAATTTTAAAAATAGTAACATCCTAATCGTGTTATTTGCAAGAAGTGAGTAAAAAATGGAACATGCAATAAAAGGTTCTTCCAGGAAGAAATAAAATGCAACAGGAAGTCACATGGAAAACGTGGAAACAATTTTTAACCCATACTCCACGATTTCACGTAAGTCACATTATGGCCTAAAGTATTTATTACAAAATGAAAAAAAAAAAAAGAAAAATCAATTGTATCATTTACAATTATTATAGTAACTAATCACAATTTAAAATTATGTGAGATTTATTAAAATTTTATATAAAAATCACACTTATAAGTGGTGGACCCATATATAATTATTTAATGTAATTAAATAATTATAATATTGTAATAAAAAAAATTATAGGTGAAATGTTCCCAAACTCATTTACTTATTTCAATTAAATTTGTTATTAAAATGTTAAAAATATTTTATGTTAATATTTTAAAATTAAAATTTAATTAAAATATATGATTTATTAATATAATAAAATTCTCAAGTTGAACTCAAGTTTTAAAAATCATATTTGGGACTGGATCCAAGTCTTTTGACCAAATAGCCTAGAAAGTAGTTGGGTTTAACAAGTACTCCAACTATAACAACCAAGAGAACGATTGTGAAATGAATGATTTTTTTATCAAGATTGATCATTTGGTAAAAAAAATAATAATAAAACAATTGAATAATAGAATATTAGTATATTTATAGAAATTTTAAATTAAATCCAATATATATACAATGAGATTCGATCATAAAATCTAATTCTTCCAATCACTCTTTCTTATTATTGAGACAAAACCTCATTTATATATAGCATGAACAAATTTTTAATTTGTGGAAAATAAAAGTCATTGTCTTATTGCAATTTTTTTTTCTAAATTATGTCGGCCACTTTCGAAAGAGAATAATTTCAGTGACTAGTTTATTCAAATTTCAATTCCAAGAATAGTAGAATTTACCACCGAAGACAAAGAAAGGGACTAACACTCCTTTTGGTAAGAAGGAAAGGACGAGGAAAAAAAAGTTGTAATATATTTTTTTTACTTTCCCTTTTCTTTCTTTCCTACGACACAGAGTCTAAACGATCGAGGACCACCTTGATTGTCTATATATATTAAGCTTGATGCAAGGCTTATCGTTATATATTTAGAAGTAGCAGTTGAGAGAGAATTGAAAATATAGAGATCATATATAAAGAAAAAGAGATGATGGAACCCAAATTGTTGTGGTTGAGTGTTTTGTTGTTGTTGATTTTAGACGGATGCAGATGGTATAGTACTGATGCATGTTGGGAGGATGAAAGGATTGCTCTTTTGCAACTCAAACCTTTCTTCAATCCTTACAACGATCTGAAGAGCTGGGTTGATGAGATCAAGGGTTCAGATTGCTGTCGATGGGATGGGGTCGAGTGCAACACCTCCTCCTCCTCCTCCTCCTCCTCCTCCAAGCGAGTCATAGGACTCTCTCTTAATTATACAAGATGTTCCAGCGACGAAAGATGGTATCTTAATGCCTCTTTGTTTCTTCCTTTCAAGGAACTGAAGCATCTTTATTTGCCAGGGAATAACATCGCTGGTTTTGTTGAAAATGAAGGTCCTTTTTGCCATTTCATCTTTAATTATTCCATTGTTAATTTGCAATATGAAAATTCTGTTGGGAAAAACAACAATACCACGCGCAGCAACCACACACAAAATAGCAAGCTCAAATCAAGAATAAGAACACACAAATATATTTGGTTTGGCCCAACTCAAAATGGCCTACTCTAAACACAATCCACTAACAAATAAATCTTTACAATTGTGAGACTTTTAGAATGAGAAAAGTCTCCTAAAACTCCTTACTCAAAACTTAACCCAAAACCCAATTACACCCTTTAATAGCCTACTCACTTAGCTATTCTCTTGGTGTCTAACTCTCTGGGGTTATTAAACTAAAACCAAAACATCTTATTTATAAGGGTGAAACCCTTTATACCTTTACTAAACTCTCGATGTGGGATACAAGACAAACTCAAACTTACTTAACTTTTGATGTGGGATTCTGAGATTCAAGGCAAATCCCAACAAATCCTCCCTTGACTTGAATCTCCAAACACTTCAACAGTATCTGCAAAGCTAACATGCTTACCTTTCTTCTTTTCTTTCATCACAGGCATTCCAGCAACTGAGCCTCCATCAAACATGTACAAGTGATTGACCCTATTCCCTTGTAGGATCACACTATCATTCTTATACACTTTCAACCAATCATTACTACCATAAAATGTGTACCCCGCGAAGCTAACTCACCCAAAGCAATCAAATTGTAGTGACAATTTGGTACATACCTTACATGACGAAGTGTCCTAATAACACCATTGTGAGATCTAAGGCAAACACTCCCAATGCCTTGAATTTGCACCTTTTCTTTGTTAGCAACCACAATATCCCCATACTTTTCACTCTCATTCAACTCCACAAAGCAGCTCCTATCATTGGAAACATGAACTGTAGCAGCTGAATCTAAAACCCAACCTTTATCACTTTTCAAAGTCTGGGTCTCATCTACACAAGTTGTCAAAACAACATCATCATCATCAGACACGACAGCAGCAGTATCATTCTTTTCTTCATCTGATTTCTTCTCATCATTCGCCCTTTTGAAAGCAGCCATATCCCTTCTCAGCTTCCTACAGCGCACTTGGATATGTCCCTTCTTACCACAATAATAACATTCTACATCACTGTAATCTCTGTCTCTTGACTTGGATCTCCATCTCGATCCATCAATCCTCTTTTGAGTCCTCCCTCGATCAAAACCCTCTACAACTAGTGTACTCTCCCCAGGTGATGAGTTCTGAGCTCCCATAAACCTTTCATTCTCACGCAATAGGGCAGTCACATCATCCAACTTTAAAGTAGACCTGCCTACCAACACAGTCTGAACTAAAGGCCTATAAGACTTGGGCAAAGATGACAGCAAAATTAAAGCCTTCTCTTCATCTTTTAACTCATCAACAGAAATCGCTAACAATTGAGAAACCAATTTATTAAACTCATTCAGGTGATTTTGAAGACTCATACCTTCTTCCATCTTCAGAGAATACAGATCCATCTTCAAACATAATCTATTAGTCAACGACTTCGAAGCATAAATACCTTCAAGCTTATCCCACAAACTCTTCGGAGTACTCTCAGTCAACACACTGTACTTTACTTCTGGAGCTAACGCCAATCTAATAGTACTAACAGCCTTCTTCTGAATCTTATTCCAATTAGCATCAGACATTCCCTCAGGCTTACTACTCTCTAATGCCTGATCCAACCCTTGTTGTACTAACAGATCTTGAATCGTACTTTGCCATAACATAAAATTACTCTTTCCATCAAATAACGGAATCTCAAACTTAGGCATAGACATACCAGACATACCTTCTTCAAACATCTTCAAACACTGCTTCACGATCTCTTGGACCCACGAACCTCGAACCTTGAACCTCGCTCTGATACCACTTGTTGGGAAAAACAACAATACCACGCGCAGCAACCACACACAAAATAGCAAGCTCAAATCAAGAATAAGAACACACAAATATATTTGGTTTGGCCCAACTCAAAATGGCCTACTCCAAACACAATCCACTAACAAATAAATCTTTACAATTGTGAGACTTTTAGAATGAGAAAAGTCTCCTAAAACTCCTTACTCAAAACTTAACCCAAAACCCAATTACACCCTTTAATAGCCTACTCACTTAGCTATTCTCTTGGTGTCTAACTCTCTGGGGTTATTAAACTAAAACCAAAACATCTTATTTATAAGGGTGAAACCCTTTATACCTTTACTAAACTCTCGATGTGGGATACAAGATAAACTCAAACTTACTTAACTTTTGATGTGGGATTCTGAGATTCAAGGCAAATCCCAACAAATTCATTCATCACTTTTCATTTTTACAACTTCATATTTAATTCTATTTTTGTTTTATTGATGAAAAGCCACTGAGTTCTTATTAAATATTTAATTGAACTCTCTTGCAGGTTTTGTGAAGCTAAATTTGGAGATCCTTGATTTAAGTGACAATTACCTCAATGATACAATTTTATTATCTTTGAGTGAGCTTTCATCTCTTAAGCATTTATATCTAGGAGCAAACTCATTCAAAGGATCAAGTCATGCAAACGGTAGAGTTAAAATTACTCTATTTATGATTATGAATGATATACAGTAATTAAAATATTAACTTGTGTTTATTACAGGTTTCCAATGGCTCTCAAGACTTGGTAATTTGGAAACTCTTGATTTAAGGGACAATTCCTTGAAAAATAACATATTGTTTCATATGAATGGTCTTTCATCTTTAAGGACTTTAAGTTTAAGTGAAAATCACTTGGAAGGAGACCTTCATATTCACGGTAAACTCACTTTACCTCTTATTTATGTTAAAGTCAAATTTTGTTTCAAGAAAAGCTCTTGCATATTATTTGATTTTATATATAATATAATTAATTACTCGTTGAGGTTGAATAGAATTGAATAATTTGACAAACTTGAAGAACTTGGATTTAAGCAACAATAGAATTGAAAGCTTCCAACCATCAAAGCAAGGTATAAATATATATTTCTATTCACTCAACCAAGATCTTACTTATGTGATTAGCGTATAAAATTTTTGATTGATAATAATATCTAATAAAATTATATATTTTTGTACAGGAAACGAGATACAACTAAGGTTAACCAATTTGAAGGAACTTGATTTGAGGGGTAATCGTTTCAGGAACAACATATTTTCTTTCTTTCGGGGGTTTTCAAGTCTAAAGTCTTTGTGTATGGGGTCGAACCAATTGCAAGGCTCAATAGATATTAAAGGTAAACCTTTTACAACTTTTTTTTTAAATTTTTTTAGAAGCCTTAAACTCATCCAATTTTTTTTTTGATAAGTCAAAGGGATTTATTAATTAATTAAAAGGTTACAAAGCCAGCATAAAGCTAATTCATCAAAGCAAATAGATCTATGCGTTCAAACCAAACTGACAAAACACCACCCAAACTATATTACTGAAGACAAAACGGCTAAAAGTTACACCACCTCACCCACAAGCCAATTACCCCCCGACCAAAGCGAGCCATGTGTGTTTTCAATTTCTTGTATTGTTGGCATAGAATCACTCTCCATTATCACCTGCTCTGTACCTTGTTCAAAAGCTAATTGTAGTCCCCAAAGGATCGCTCTTAACTCTGTATGAAGGGTCCAGTCTACCCAAGTCACTGTTAAAAACAGCACGTTACTATTCGAATCTCTAAGAACAGCACCTAGCCCAGCTTCTTTTTCTCTATCCACTGCATCCACAATGAGCTTTAACATGTCCAGTACAGGAGGTTGCCAACTCTATCCTTGTGGCGTCCTCAAGATCATAGTTGGTTGGGCAACCAATTCTAGCCTTTCCCTCACGCAGGCTGTCTTTACCAATGATTTCCACATAGCACATGTTCCTTGATGGAGGCATTTTAATTACAATTATCGTATTGTAATTCTTATTGTGTTAATTACAATACCATAATTCTTAATATTATTATGTTTGATTATATAATTATATTAATATCAAGTTAACAAATATTATATTATTTTCAAAATGTGAAATGAAACCCAGTTAAGATGCTAATTGTACCTTTTGTCTCCTGGATAGTTGCAGTTGCTAATATGAAACTTGTGGTTGCAAAATAACATTTCTTGTTCATACCATCTGGTAGGAAAAATGCTATTAGCTTAAGAATCAAGCTACACCTATTGGCCAAAAGAAAAAAATCAAGCTACACCTACAATGTCACTTATTATACTGTCAGTCATTTCAATTTTTTATTGGGATAAGAAATTCGAATCCAACTCTATGTAAGATAAAGACAACCAAACCAAGTGCTCAAGCGTGATACTTATTATTGAAGTGGGAAAATCGATACATGACTGAATTAGAAACAGTTGAGAAACCATTTTGTGGTTTTTTTTTATTCATTTTTGTTTTCTGAAGTTTCCTAAGTATTTGTGTTAATGGATCAAGTCATGCAAACGTTAAGAGTTAAAATTAATCTAATAGTGATTATGAATGATATATAGTAATTAAAATATTAATCTTCTTTCATTATAGGCTTCCAATGGCTTTCAAGACTTAATGATTTGGAAACTCTTGATTTAGGATACATCTCTTTGAAAATTAACATATTATTTCATGTGAATGGTCTTTTATCTTTAAGGACTTTAAGTTTGATGGAAAATTACTTGAAAGGAATCATTCATATTCACAATAAACTTGCTTTATCTTTCTTTTATGTCCAAATCAATTGCTGTTTCATGAAAAGGTGTTGCATATCATTTGCTTTTATATGTAATATTAATCTCTCATTGGCATTGAATAGGATTGAATAATCTGACAAATTTGAAGAACTTGGATCTAAGCTACAATAAAATTAAAAGCTTCGGACCATCAAATCAAGGTATAAATATATATTTCAATTCACTCAACTAAGTTCTTAATTATGTGATCAATGTATAAAATTTCCCATTAACAATGGCATGTAATAGAAATATTCTTCTATAGGAAAGGCGATACAACTAAGGATGACCAATTTGGAGGTTCTTGATTTAAGTAATAATCTCTTCAGGACCGACACTTTTGCATTCCTTTCTGGCCTTCCAAGTCTAAAGTCTCTGTATATGGAGCACAACCAATTGCAAGGCTCAATAGATATTGGAGGTAAAGATATTACAGCCCCTTTTGTTTATTTTAATTCTGTTTTAGAACCTTTTTGCTCATCAAATAGGTAAAATCTCATATCACATTTGGGGATTTTTCCTCTTCGCTTAAAGCTTTAGATTTGTTTTGCAGTTTACTTCATTATAAAGTCATTAAAAATATTCAGTAAAAGATTATTTGAGTAACCAGGCTAACATAATGATTATTTGAATGAACTTGGACATAGAATTGAATAATTTGATGAATCTGAAGAAGTTGTATTTATACTTCAACAAAATTGAAAGCCTTCATTCCTTACAAGGTATGCATTTATATTTGCTCAATTAGTTAAGTTGTTATATATAATTAAATATTATGTAAATCTTTTTTTAGTGATGAAATTATGCAAACCTTATGTAGATAGTGGGAGACAGCTGAACTTGACCCATTTAGAAGAATTTGATTTGAGTGATAATCTCATTAATGACAACATATTTGCATCACTTAGCGGGCTTTCAAATTTGAAGTCTTTGTATGTAAACTCCAATCAGTTAAATGGATCAACAGATATGAAAGGTAAAATTACTTTTTTTCCAAAAATTTTGATTTTGTTAACAAAAATCTTAATTCATGTTTCAAAATGATATAACAAATAAGTTCATCTGTTTTTTTCTTTAATGATGAAATTATGTAAATTATTTATAGATGCTGGGAGACCGTTAAAATTGACCAATTTCTAAATGCTTGATTTAAGTCATAATCTAATTAATTATTACTTTTCAACCAAAATTTCAACTATATTATAAATACTTAAAAAAAAAAACAAATTTCATGTTTTCAGATGATTTAAGGACGTTTATTTATTACTTTTTTTTCCAGACTTGGGTGCTTTTACCAACTTAGAGGTACTGGATATGAGCTATAATGATTTGAATGAATTTGTGGCCTGTAAAGGTATGATTTAAATAAATTTTCTATTTTTATTTGTGAGGTTTATAATGATGTAGATGTTTTAATGATCAACAAATTTAGCATGTTAAAATTTAATGCTCAATTTTTTAAAGGAAGAAATTAATTATTTATTATATGCTTTTTATTACAACGCTACAATTCTCTAACTATAATAAAGAATTATGTAAGAATCGATCATTTATAAATGTGACCTCCATATACAATTTTGTTAGACCTCACGTAATTTTGAATTGTGGCTATTTAATTGTATTATAATGATTGTAGGTGAAATGCTCTAATTAAAATTAATGTCCAATTTTTTAAAGGAAGAAATTCATTGTAATTTGATTACTAATTAGAAAATGATATATATTTGCCTTAGATAATTGCTTTCTTTAAGGAGTGTTGCAACGGCATATCAAATATTTCCCTTTTGTTGTATTACCTTGTTGTGTCTTAGAGTTGACTGTTTGCCTTTTGTCATCTATTTTAGATTACTACGTATTCTTATTACCGTTTAAAAAATTTTGCCTTTTCATGTTACCGTTTTGTTTGATTTTCATCTTTTTGATTGTTTCGTATATTAAAATTTATATTAAAAATATTTAACGATTCAATATTCTTCTCTATTAAAAATTCATCTTGCATAAATCTTGAATATATAATCTTTCTACAAAATTGAAATTTTCACTTGTTTATTTTTTTCATTTACAGAGTATAAAAGTTTGAAAAAGTTAAAAGTTCTTAGTCTAAATGGGGTTTTCACCAATGGAAGCATTCCACTACTACTAAAATTAGTAGATGCATTCCCATCAGTTAAGACCTTCTATCTACGATGGAATTACCTAAACAAGTCTATGGCTGCTCAGGATCAAGGTAAGTCATTAATTTTTCCAAAAGGACTTAAATTAGTAGTCGTTTGTTGATTAACATCTAAGAATACCTCTTATGCTATGATTACTCAGAATTCCATGTATGGAACAATGTGGAGGAAATATTTCTAGACTTTTCCTATCTCGACAACAACGTTTTGCAAAGCATTGGAGTATTCACTTCTCTCAAAACTTTGTCTTTAAGTGACTGTGGACTTATTGGTTCTTTACCTAATCAAGGTAAATTAAAGACTATAATTTCTCCAATATAACTCCTGGAATACATCTATTTCCAATAATCCTTTTTTCTATTTCTTTCATCTAATATCTTTTATATATATTCTGTTTTGGAAATCAAAATTTAATTAAAATTTCTTCCATGAATTTATAAAATTTTCAGGTTGGTGTGATCTAAGGAACCTTAAAAGTTTGGATATCAGTAGGAATGCACTTGAGGGGATACTTCCTTATTGTTTGGGTAACTTGACATCTCTTCTTCAGTTGGATATCTCCTACAATCAATTTACTGGAAATTTGACGCCTTTAGCAAATCTTTCATCACTTGGATTCGTCATCCTTTCAAGAAATCATTTTCAAATTTCAATGCCATTCCTATCACGTGCAAACCTTCCAAATCTCAAAGTTCTCTTCGGTGATGAAAACAAGATGGTAATAGAACCTAATTCCTTTCATACTTCAATTCCAAGGTTCCAACTAAATTTCATCAGTTTGTCAAAGTGCACAACAGATAAAGGACTTAGCCTACAACCTCTTAAGTTCCTTTATTACCAATATGACTTGAGATATGTTGATCTTTCCTATAACTATTTCAGTGGAACAGTCCCGTTATGGTTGTTAGAAAATAACACAAAATTAGAAAATCTCTACTTATTGGGCAATTCTTTCACCGGTCCTCTCTTGTTACCGCAACTTCCTAATCCTAGTGTGTCTGCAATTGACATATCTAATAACAAGTTACAAGGTCAAATTCTGACAAATATATGTTCATCTTTTCCAAATTTGAACGGTTTATTCTTATCTAAGAATGCCTTTGAAGGTAATATCCCTCCTTGTTTAAGTGGCATGAACACTTTATCAATTTTAGACCTATCGGACAATCATCTGTCTGGAAGAGTACCAGAAAAGTTGATCATGAGAAGCTCATTAGTTATTCTTAGGCTATCAAATAACAACCTAAGTGGAAAGATTGTTCCTATGATGTTCAACACAAGAAAGTTGTCAAATTTGTATTTGGATGACAATAATTTTGCTGGAGAGATTCCTGATATTGATGTCTCTGCTACTGATTTTTCACATTCATCACTAGAGGATATTGATATCAGTAGTAACAGTTTTAATGGAAAGCTCCCAAGATGGATAGGGAATATACCGCATTTGAAGAGATTGGCTTTGTCCAACAATCATTTCGAAGGTTCTATTCCAATGGAATTGTGCAACTTGTATGAGCTTGAATTTTTGGAGCTTTCTCAAAACAATTTATCTGGCTCTATTCCTTCTTGTTTCAATCCACCATATTTGAGATATGTCCACCTGAAGAGAAATAGACTAAGTGGTCCATTGACACTTGCTTTTAATAGCTTTTCATTAGTGACATTAGATCTTAGAGGGAATAATTTGACCGGTAATATTCCAAAATGGATTGGCACATTTTCTACTTTAAGCATCCTTCTTTTGAAAGACAATCATCTAGACGGTGGAATTCCAGTTCAATTATGCAAGTTGTATTCATTGAGCATCATAGATCTTTCTGGAAATATGTTTTCTGGTCCTATACCTTCTTGTTTGGGTAACTTAACTCTGGCAATGAAAAAGGAGAAGTCATTGATACTTGATGGTGGGTATGGAATAGGTATACCTGATGATGCATCAACATACACTATGATGATAATGTCGAAAACTCGTAGGTACCCTGATAGCTACATGGAAGAATGGATAGAGTTTACAACAAAGAGTGTGTCCTATTCATACGGTGGTGACATTCTTAAGTACATGTCTGGGATTGATTTATCTTGTAACAGGTTAACTGGGCAAATCCCACTCGAATTGGGAAACTTGAGTGAAATCCGTTCGTTAAACTTATCACACAATAAGTTGATCGGAGTCATACCTTCATCATTTTCAAAGCTTAAGCAAATCGAGAGTTTGGACCTTTCTTACAACAACTTGACTGGTAGAATCCCTATACAGTTGGTTGAGTTGAACTTCCTGGAGGTTTTCAGCGTGGCACACAACAACTTGTCAGGTAGTACTCCAGACCCAAAAGCTCAGTTTGGGACCTTTGATGAAAGCAGCTACGAGGGAAACCCTCTTCTCTGTGGGCCTCCATTGCAAAATAACTGCTCTAAAACTGAGTCACCACCAACAGTACCGACTACAACAGACAATGAAATAGAAGGTAGTTTCATGGACACATATGTTTTTTGTGTGAGCTTTCTGGTTTCATATGTAATTGTTTTATTGGGAATTTTTGTTGTTCTATACATAAATCCATATTGGCGACAAGCATGGTTTTCTTTCATTGAGAGTTGCATCACTACCTTTCGCTACTCAATTGTGGGCAATTTTCTTGAGTTATACATCTTCAGAAGATGTGCCTAGGTATCATGGGAGCTCTTATGATTTGCCTTTTGTTTGGATGTGGTGAAGATTTGGATAAAGTTGATTTTGTTTTCAGAAGAAGTTTGGTGATTTGATCTTTTTAAATGGGGGATTTCTTTTAGCTGACTGTTCTGTTAAAATAGTTGTAGGAAGAGTTGTGGATTTTGCACTTTCAATAGAGCTTTATGTCTCTGTCGAAACTCTGTTTTTGGTATTTGTTTTGTTTTGAAGGAAGCCTGTAGCTTTGTGTCTTGTTGATTTTATTTTCTACACAAATATTCAATTCTCTATTCTCCATCATCTACAAGTTATTATTAATATCTTTTCCAAGTTATTATTCAAATTGGCAAATTTTTCCTCATTAGTTTTGGCTTGGTTTTGAGCTTCTAGTAAATGATTTCTGGCATAAATTGCAGCAAAGGCAAAGATCGCTGGCTATGGCCTACCAAGAACTTTCTAAAGTTGTATTGGTTGGATTCATTAGTTTTAACTAGATTTTATATCGATCGTAAAAAGCTTTTTCAATTTATTTTCTTTGATGCTTAAAAAATTAGATTTTAAACAAAAACAATACTAATTCTATCATATTAAAGTAATATGAAATATTCAAGAATGTGTTTTTTTTTTTTTCAATTTCTCATTTCTAGCTCTTTTATAGAGGTTTTATTTTTATTTAAAATTACTTAATATTTGTTGTCTTTCGAAAATTAGTGTTAGTTTATAAAATGGACCAAATAAGCATTGACTGTTGAAAATATCATTTTGATCGCGAAATGCAATTATTTTCTTTTATAGGGTTACAAATTATTCCAAAATTAAAAAATAGGTTTATATATCTCATACACATGCAAATCCTATCAACTAAGTAAATTAAATGTAGAATCTTCCAAAGTAACGATGAGATCATGACTTAATAGTTGTGGTATAAAGGGTGTTAGCCAATGAGATCATGACTTAGTAGTTATATTATAATTTATTAGTTAATTATTCAGTAATTGTAATTTAATTATAATATAATAATTGATTATTCAGTTAATTAAATAAATGTAATACTTGATTATGATTATAATAATTAAAAAAAACTAAAATTTTTGAATCCATTCTTTGCATGGTTAATTTTTATTTAAAAAAAAAACTTAAATAATATATACCATATAAATAATGATTTCAAAAGTTCAAAGAGTTTCTCTTTAAAAAAACAATCCTCATACTACTTTATTCAAAAAAAAAAATTTAAAAACATAAAAAATAATAAAAATAAAACAGCAAAGGTATCAAAGGAAAAAACAATTAAAAAAAAAGAATAACCTCATATCTAACTGTAGCATTTCCATGAAAGAAAATGAAATAATGGAGTAAAAGCCTCATCCTCTTTCACCGCAAAGAACTTATGTGTAAATTTGATCACATATAAATCAATAAATAATCATAAAATAAGTACACCAGGTCTACAAATAATTAATAATTGGTATACAAAGATTACAAAAAATTAAACACATTTAATTATTTCTAATAAAATTGATTATATTAATTTTTTAAAATATTTATTTTTAAATCATTGATTAATGGAGAAGGAGAAAAGATTAAAATTAATTTATACCTTACTACTAAGGATCCAGAACATCAACTTAACATTTGTAAATTGAATTACTTAATTTCATTTAATGACACTTATCCTAAAAAATCATATAGCGTTTGCATTCATGAGGTATCGATTGGTTTTGTAAGGGGCATAGATATGAATATATATATATATATATATATTCATAGAACTTTTTGGTTTTTTTTCTACATTGATCCAACAAAATTTAAATAAAAATAAAAATAAATAAAAAATAAAAACTATATATATTCATAGAAATTTTTGGTTTTTTTTCTACATTGGTTCCACTAAATTTAAATAAAAATAAAAGTAATACAAATAAAATTTTATCTACTTTATAAAACAAAATACAAGTAAAATGACTAAAAAAAAAATCAAATCTATTATACTATAATAGTTGTCCAATTATGTACGTGGATACACTCAAACAATTATATATAGAGATTAGCAATTATAAAATAATGTTATTCATTTTTTTCTAATACTGGGATAAGATATATTTAAATTTATCATTTATATTTTAGATTTGGGGAAAAGAGATTAGGTTGGGTTAGATTAATGTTAGAGGGGTTTATCATTTATAATTTTTTTAAAATATAATCTATTTAAATATTGTTGAATAGTGCTAATAATCTTGTAGTCATTTGGTAGTTAATATAGCATTAAACTCCTAATTTTTATGATCGTAATTTTATTCCTGACATATTCAAATATCAAAAAATTAAGAGTTTAAATTTATATTAGAATGATCACTGATAAGTATTATACACTTATCAACATCAAATCAATATTGATTTTAAATCTTAACACTAATTAACTTATTTTAAAATAAAAAATTAAAAAAATTTCCCAATGAAGATTTGATTCCATTCTCTTTTGTTCTTTGCTATGGCTGTAACTTCTAACAAAAAATGATAAATATTTATGGAAGAGATATCAGTGCGGTGGCGTTCTTAGAGACTGCGAAGGGAATATTAGAGGTTTTTTTTATGGCCCTCTTGGTGATCAGGAGACAAATACTGCAGAAGCTTTGGCCATTAAGGCTGCACTTCAAATGTTTTCTTCTTCACCTTGGCTGGGAAAGGGAGCTCTAGTTTTGGAATCAGATTCAAAAGTAGCAGTGAGTTGGGTGCGTAATAAGAATGCCAGACCATGGAAACAATGGCCGATATTTGCGGAAATTGATAGGCGAGTGGAAATCATAGGAGAGGTTAAGTTTGTACATATTTTTAAAGAAGCCAATTACTTTGCTGATTCATTGGCAAGGAAGGGGGTAGACAGTCTTAGTTTGTTTTATGCATGGCTGTAATATGATAATATTTCCTGTGGTGAATAGGTAGTTTCTGGAAATATTGTTATCAGGTGTAAAGACTGTTTCTGACCGACGAAATTTTGTTGACTGAGAAAAAAAAAAAAAAACGAAGAGAAGTTTTCAATCCATTTTTGATTAAAAGCCTATAGCCTAATCTAAAAGAGGTAATTTTTAATCAAAATTAATGAGAAACTTGTGAAGATGAGAAAGGAGAGGAGAAAATTGCTAGAGCTTCTTCTTTTTCTCGTTGAAGTCCTAATTCATTTTTTTTTTAATTATCGGTTAGTTATTACTTGTTAAATATGTTAATTAAGGAGAAAGGCTATTATGGATTAGTTTGGTTTCACTTTCATACATAAATAGGTTAATTAAGGATTAAAGGTTATTATGAATTAATTAGATTTTGCTCTCATCAGTTATTTGGGAAAATGTCTTTGATTTAAGAAGGGATTTCTTTTAGAGCCATTGCTAAGAAAAATGGACATTTCGTGAGGAATTGAGAGTGCCACCTAATACATCCTTCATGGCAAATAAAGAAAACAACCAATGGTTTTTTTTTTTTTTTCCTTCTTTTCCTTTTTGCTATTTTTTCACAAATTTTGGATTGCCATTTTTGTTTAATTTGGGCTACGAAAGCCCCCAAATAATTTGGATTGCCTTTCCTTTTCTTTTTCCTTTTAAGATTTTACTCTCTTTTTCTTTTTGTATTTTTGTAAAAATTTGTTTGCCGATGAACTTGTATCATTAAAAATAAACTTAAATTGTTAAAAGAAAATAAACTTAATTGTTAAAAGGAAATAAATTTTTTTGAAAAAAATTACCTTTAGATTTTTCAAACAAGTTTAGATTTAGGTAATTTTTAATGACTTGCCTTTAATTTTTTTCATTTTGATTTACTAGAATTTGAGACATCCACTATGTGGGTGAAAAATAATGTATTGAAAATAAATTTGTAAAAAAAGTCTATGCAGGTATATAATTTTTAAACAGGATAAGCGTATGTGTCTTTTAATTTATATGTGAAGCATATCAATAACCTCTCCTTTTTACGGATGTTTCTTCAAAGTTTTTTTCATAACCATAGTGGGGTGGGTTTTGTCATAGGCGTTTACATCATGAAGTATTGGGTACTTGGGTGTAATTGTTCTTTGGTGTAGTACCTCGATATTAGTTTCTTTGTTATAGTGTTCACATTTAGGCTCTCTTTGATGCTTCATGTGGGTTGTACAGGTTGTATGGATCTTTTCTTTTCTAGCTACAGCTAGCCTTCTAACCTTTGAGTTACATTAACAAATTTTGGCTTACCAAAAATATGTATTTTTTAATTTTAATTTTTTTAATATTTTTATTTATTTTTTATCAATTCACCCAACTGAACTTGTGTCATTAGACTCATAACATCAAATTTAACTAAAAATTTTATGTTTAGAATTAGACTTTTTACATAGTGAAAAAATAGTAATGTTCTGAAAAAAATAATATCTAAAAAAAGATGAGTAATTTTTTAAACTGAAAACATATTTGTGTCTTTTATTTAAATTTTTTGTAATAAGTTTTTTGTCAATTCACCCAACTAGTTGCTATCACTTGAGACATCAAATTCAATTGGAAGTGTATGACTATAAATATCTATATCTATACTAATATTAAAGGGATGTTATATAGTTAAAAGCATATATAGGATGTCATGTCGATCAATTCAAGGAACTGATGTAAATGCAGCAGAGATTAGGACTTTCATGTGGCGGGTTTGTCACGGTATTATACAGGTAATGGTTAATTTGGCTAGAAGGCAGATTCCAGTGGAGAAAACTTGCTTGCGGTGCAGGGTGGTGAATGTCCTTTGGCAACATTAGTATGGGAATACCTAAACCATTAGTGGGAGTACGATTATAAAGTGCAGCAAGAGAGTACAAGTTGGTTCCCTAAGATGATTATGAAACTTAAGTATGAACAATTCCAATTGTTTGCGATAGCATGATGGATAATATGGAACGATCGAAATAATGAGGTTCATAGAGAGCAAAGGAGTTCACTCGCATCAGCAACATTCATCAAAACTTACTTGCTGGAATTCAACCAAGCTCAGCAGAAACAGATCATAATGCAGCAAACGCCAAATGGGTATCTCAAAAATGGAAACTCTCAATTAGTGACTGCTATAAAGTAAACTTCGATGGGGCCTTGACGGATAGCGAAAACTGGATGGAATAGGAGTGATTATATGAGATAGTGAAGGGAGGATAATATGTGCACACACAGCCAACTTGCCAAAAATAACAAACTCGTTTGTTATAGAGGCCCTAGCTGCAGTTCGAGTGATCGACTTTGCTTTGGAAACGGGATTTAGAGAAATTGAGCCAGAAGGTGATGCTTTAACAGTGGTGAAGAAATTGTAAACTTGGAACACATATCTTTCTCCGCTAAGATCAATTTTAGATGAAGCAAAAATCAAAATGACACAATTCAGCAACTGCTTTATAACACATTGCAGATATTCAGGGAACGAGGTAACACATTTGCTAGCTAAGCATGGATTACAAATTTGAGGTGAATTTAAGGGACGTTTTCAGTCTATGCCCAGCCAGCCGAGAATATCATTGCTTTCTACAGCTGCATGGGCTTAACCCACTAAAAAAACTCTCCACTTTTCCTTTAGTTCATTTCTGCATCTCCACTCTACAAAACTCTCTGCTAATGCCGGCCCCCTTTATTTTGCGTTGAAAGAAAGCCTCTGCATTTGTGTTTTTGTAACAATATCTCTGCTAAGCCTCTGCATTTCCATCTAAGCCAAGTGCATTTGCTCTCCATGAGATTACTATCTTCATCTTCAGCTAATCCTCTATCTTTTTCACATTTTTACGTCTATATTTTTCAAATCAGTTTAGAGACAAAAATCTAACAAATCTTTTCTTAATTTTTAAAAAATCCCTGATTTTTTCCTGTCCAGTTTCAGCTCAATCGTTGTCATTTTCTCCGTTAGTGTCGTTTTGAAACAGATACTTCCTATCTCTCTTCATTTTGATTCTGATTTTGTAATGAACGAAATGGTTAACAATATATATTTTTTTATTTCGATCGAGATAAAGTCTTATTTGATGCAGCTTATCTTGATTTTGTTGTTTGGTCAAGTTCAATCTCAATTCTAAATGGTTTTTTCTTGTGATTTGTGATTTGGTACAATGTGTGAACAACAAATTTAACCGATTCAACCTAGTTCCTGGAACAATTTGTTGTGGAGTCAGTAAACTATAAAAATATAGATTTTGATTGCCTTGGTCAATGTCTTGTGCTACATTAGTATGATGACAGTGTCTATTTTCCATTTTTGTAAGTTTTTTGTGAATGGAAAGAATTGCATGTTTGCAGCAATTGCTAGGAAGGACCAAAAGTGGGTTTAGTTGAAGTTTAGGGAATAAGTTGTGGGGTATGTTATTTTGTATTTTATTAGTTCTTGCATTTTGAATCAGAGTTTCTTGAGCTCATAAGCACCTTCACCTACTGAGAGTTTTTTAACTCATTTTCACTAAATTGTTTAGGAGTGATTGGGTTAGCCTTAATGAAGGCAAGGGCATTAAGAAGGATCAATATGGATTTACCCTTGTGAATTCCTCAAATTTAATTCATACGAGCAAGGATCTAAAAGACGAACCTTTTGTATTTGCTTCCCAAGCAAAACAAGTATTTTATGTACAAGATCCTTGGTATGAGAACTGGAAAATTATATTGAATGCAATACCAAGAGATTTGTATGTATGGGTGTGGAATCAAATGAGGAAGAAGGGTGAATTTACTGTGATCTTGTTTTCTTGTAATTAAGAGATTTCTTTGATGATCAAATAGGTAAGTCTTGAATTTGATTTTTCTTTTTCACTTTGCCTTTTTATATGTATTCCTTCTAATAGGTTTTTTTTCTCTTTTGTGCAGGTTTTCTTGGCAGTGTAAATGTCTCTTCTAAGGTGACCCTTCCCTCTCATTTTCTCTCTTTTCTCTTCCCTTCCTCTGATATTTTGCTTGCCTGTCTCATGTTATGCACACAGAAAGAATATTGCTTTAGTTTTACTGTTGATATAAAAGTTGTTTGATGTGAATGTACCTGCTATTACTTGAGAATTGAGCTGATGCGACTGAAATAACAATGCTTGTGGTTCTTTTTATATTTTCCCTACTGATGTCGTGTCTTTATCATTTGATTTCTGGGTTTTTATTGTTTCAGTTTCAATTTTATGATTTATTATCTTTGTCTTGACTTTTCATCTATGTTAGTTTCAAAATATTTTAGACATTCTGAATTGAGTTTGCTTTTAATTGAGCAAGATTTCTTCCAGAAGCTTATGGAGCTATGCAGAATCTGCGACTTGGAAAATATAGATGGTCTTCAAATGATATTTAAAATAGTCAAGGGGATAAGTTAGTACTCTTTCTCACTTGAATGCTCTTATTTCTTAGTTAAGGAATGATTGTATTTTACAGGTGATTCATGGATCTGTGGTTTATATTATTATTTGCTTTACAGTTTTGCTCAACAGTCCTCAAGTTTTGGAGAAAATTTTTAGGGATGAATTAATTATGGATATCATTTGTTATCAGATTTATTACCTGCGACTATTGCTGGATTGACTTGGATGTTTACTTTGCAAATTTACTTATATAACTGCTAAACTGTAACTTATTAATCCAAAACTAGAGTCTTAGCTTCTGCATAATAACTTCATATTTTAAAAGTTGCATAGAATTGCTAAGATACATTTTAACTTTTATTGCAAGTAGTTATGATGTCATTATTGAAGAATACATGTCAGTTTTTGCAAGTTATTGATTATACGAGAAACAGTTCTTTACATGAAATTTTTAGGTGTAACAATTATCTTGCATTGTTCGTCGGGTTGAAGTTGTTTGATGCTTGTTCTATTTTCATGTTCATTAGCTTTACAATTGATTATTTTTCTAAACTGCATGTTGGGTTGACATTTAGTATCTAGTCATGTCTTTATTTGTGTAATTTTTGCTTTTGATTGCGTTTTCCGGGATGTTGTTTTGGCAAGGGTGTTGAATGAGGCCACAGTTGC